ACCAAGCACTGTTTTAAGCATTTTATAAGTATTAATTTACTTAATCGTCACAAAATCCCATTAAATTATTACCCTCATTTTATAGATACAGAAACTGAAGCACAGAGAGATTATGTAATTTGCTCAAAGTGAGGCAGCCAATAAGTGGCAGAATTCCTTTGGTCCTCCACTCTGATATCTGCCCATACTTCTGTTCTCCTACCAGTTTTCCACAATATAACACGGTGTGTTTTTTTGTTTTGTTTTGTTTTTGTGTTTGTTTGTTTGTTTGTTTTTGGTTTGGCCTAGTCTCCTCAAAATGTTTGAAAATTGGGTTCTATTTAAAAAAATAAATAAAATAGCCCTAGCTGGTTTTGCTCAGTAGATAGAGCATCAACCTGTGGTTCGGGTTCAATTCTGGTCACGGGCTTGTACTTGAGCATGTACCTCGGTTGCAGGCTCCCCCCCAGCCCTGTTGGCTATGTGCTGGAGGCAGCCAATGTCTCTCTCACATCAATGTTTCTCTCTGTGTGTCTCTTCCCTTCCCTTCCACTCTCTCTAAAAATCAGTGGAAAAATATCTTCAGGTAAGGTTTAACAAAAATAAGTAAGCAAAAATGAAGATTTACAGATATCACAGCCCATCTTATATCTTGAATATAATTAATTTATTTTAATAGTGCTCTCTCTCTATTATTCTACAGGGACTGGTATTAAAGTTCAATTCTATAATTCTTTAAAGAGAACCTCTATTATGAGTATCATTGGACTGTATGCTTACCAGGTTTCCCCCCATATACATTAAATTTAAATCCTTAGTTCCACGTTAATTTTCACTGCCTAACTGATAAAATATTATCCAAGCATGTACTAAAGAATGAATTTTTGCAGCTTAGTGAGATAAGCCATTCATACTCTAACGAGGATATTTTAAACTGAACTGGTTATTCCTGCAGGAAAACCATATTCAGATCAAACTAATTTCCTAAATGACATAAAAGGAGTGAGCAGCTTTGAGGTGTCTTATGTAACTGAGTGCTGACAGCTTGGGACTAGATGATGGAATGACAGCGAAAGGGAAGCTGAATCTTTGAAATAGTAAAAATTATCATTTAAAAATCACAGTAAATATCACCTTCCAGGTATTAAAATGATTAAAGGGCTTATTTTTTCCACACTCCTATTGTGATAGGTTTTATAAACAAATAATTTTAAGTACACTAACCTGTTAAGCACCAGTAATTAGTTGAGAAAAACAAACACAAATGTTCTTGGAGAGCAGACCCTAAGGGAATTTAGTCCTCTGAAATTATGCAAAGTGTATACTGAAATCATTCTGAGAGACTCCTACCCCAAAGAAAAATCCCCTTTGTTTTCTCTCACACATAAATTCTATGACAGCTAATTGACAGGAATATTTGCTAACACAGGTGGACCTGCGATGGGTAAAACCATCTGGAATATTTTGGGTTTTCACTAGAAAAAATAAGAGTCTATAATACTTGTGAATAGAGAAGATACTGGATTGGCAGGCAGTTAACTAAGTAGTTAAGGGATTTGGTTTTGTCATCTCAGCTTTTTGAATTTTAGTTTCCTACTCTAGCCAATACAGAATGATCTCCAAGGCCTGTTCTAACAACTCCTAAGTTCCACAATTTTAAGTTAATATGGCTTTGAACACTTTTGCATAAAGAAAATTCTAACATTTAATCTCATAAGATACAATAAGAATATGTAGAAACCAGTTATATGAAGTTAGGATAATCTATATATATAAAAGCCTAATATGCAAATTGTCCCCTTAGGAATTAGACCAGGAGACCGGGATTTGATCACTCACTATGACATGCACTGACCAGCTGGGGGCAATGCGGAATGAAAGAAGGCCCCAGCCAGCAGCCTGTAGCCGGGGAAGGAAGGCCCTGGCTGACAGCCAGAAGGTCCCAATCTGCCCTATCAGCCAGGTCTAGGGACACTACCGGTGCACAAATTTTATGCCCTGAGCCTCTAGTATTTAATATTTCCCAATAGATGTTCCATTATTGTTAAACTATCTCTCGAGCACCCCATCAACCAGTGTGGCTCCAAGAAAGGGAGCAGAGCAGATGCCATCACAAGAATGAAGAGGATAATGTACATAAAGAATGCTCCTGACATCGTACTAGAGAAAAACCCATCTCTTGTAGCCCTGAGGAATGATGGAAAGAAGAAAATGGGACAGGGAAGAGGTATCAGAGCCAGTGTTTACTTTCTGTCCTTTCTCAGGGTGAAAACTAGAATTGGAGGTATACAGTTAAAGTATTCAAATAGAAATGGGGTATGGTTGTGAGAGGTTGAATCCTCAATGAACTCTTTCAGCTTGACAGCATGCTCTGCATGATGTAGGGAGGATGATGCAACATTGGTGGAGGAAGGTGGCTCGATAGGAGTCCAGGGCAAGGCTCCTAGTTCATCAAGGACTACATGTGTTGTTGGGGAATCCAGAAGTTCCCCCGTGTCTCACTGGAAGAGAGAGTGGCACAGTGAAAATCAATGGACCTGCCAAGACCTGTGGTCAGTACAGAGGCTGCAGTGTATAGGGCAAAAGAACCGGTCTGACATCTGTAAAGGGCAGAAATGACTAGTTTTACTTTAGGGGCAAGCAGTCTTGCTTTCACCAATCACTCCATACCACTGGACAACACAAGGGCTGGCCCTTCCTGATGCCATATAAACTTTCCCATCCCTCAAGTCTGCTACCAACCCACTAGTCATTGTGCGAATTAGAAAAAAGCACTCACTTTCTGAAGACACTTTACTTCCATCAGGAAACTGTCTTAATATATTGGTTTTATTGGAACAAGTTATCTTACTGCTGTATGCCAAAGAAGTGTCATAATAACTTAGAAATCTAAGGTGCCAGAGATGTGAAAGACACTCCATTTATACCTCATATAGCAACCTTTGATCCCATACATATCTTGGAATGCGAGGAAGGTAGGAAAATACAATCTAAAAGACTCAGCATTTATGTTAAAAAAAAAAAAAAAGATATAATGTGAGGACTTAAGGTTAAAAATTACAGAAAATACAGTTTTTTTGTACTTGAATAAAGTAAATCTGTCATACCAAAATATGAAGTCTTTATGACAAAGATTTTGCCTTTTATTTTATTTTTTGATATTTCCCAGAGCATCTTAAATAGTAATACACCAGAAGTAACCAACAAGTGCTTATTGGATAAAAAAATAAATTTTACAAATTCACTTATATGTATAATTTTCCTCTTCCCCCTATATTTATTTGAACCAAATCTAAAATTGTACCCATTTGTACCTGGCTAACAACCATAAAAACCCAGAGTTCTTCAGTTGTTAGTTGATTCCTAACAGCCCTCCTTTTCAAATATTTTTTTTTAAAAAAAGGAAACTTAGATTTAAGTGGCCTCCATCTTCAGGACCAAAGAGAAATTATCTGAAAAATTACAGAATTTTTTTTAAAAATATATTTTATTGATTTTGTACAGAGAGGAAGGGAGATAGTTAGAAACATCGATGAGAGTCATCGATCAGCTGCCTCTTGCACACCCCCTACTGGGGATATGCCCGCAACCAAGGTACATGCCCTTGACGGAAATCGAACCCAGGACCCTTCAGCCCCCAAGCCGACGCTCTATCCATTGAGCCAAACCGGTTTCGGCCAGAATTTTTTTTTTTTTAATTATAAACAGGATTATATACTCCAAAAAGACAGTCCTTATTAAAGGTGGAGGCCCCCTAATATCCCTAGGTCAAGTAATTTGCCTAGTGTCACATATGAAATCAGGGATTCAAACACCCTACCCAATACTGATTCACACTTCCTTGCCCTTCTCTTCCCTCCCAAAATACACTTTCTCCCTCTCCGCCTTACATTATCTTACTTAATCGCTTAATTATCTCATAGACAACAACTGATCAAATTCACATGAGAGAGACATCACCCAAAGATCTGAAAACCAGAGCAGGTGAACTGCCCGTTTTACCACATCCATAAATAATGATAAAAGAGAGAACAGATCATTGAGAAAGAGTACTTTTGTCAGTCATCACAACAACAACTAGGGAATAAAAATGCGTCTTCCTTGGGGAAAAAGATCATACTGATGGGACCAGATACAGATACAAAGTATAATTCCTCGTGGCTTTTTAAAAAAAAAATTTCCTTTGAGTTTGGGGACTCAAAAGATTTTTTTAAAACCACATCAACACATAATCTACACACCTTTTCTCACCTAGTCCCCCGGAACATTACGTAGACCACGTTTCCAAAAAGTAAACTGACCCAAGGTATAACTGCCTGTTCATCAAAACCTTTTCAAGACACAGACGACTCCTGTTAAGACTCTGATTAGGAACCATCTCCCAAACTTCGGTCTCCATGCTCAAACTGGATCTCCGAGGTTTGTAACCAGCCTCAGCTCGGCTAAAGGGCATAGACTCTCTAGCGCTCCCTATAGCTCAGGTTTACCTACCACGGAAAACCCAAGTTACCCAAGATCGGCTCCTTCGCTCCACTTTTTATTCCCTCCCCCCCGCCCCCCGACTTAAAAAAAATCGGGTGAAGGTGGGGAGCGGGGGGGGGGGGGGGGGGGAAGAAAGCCGAAACGCCGAACCCAAGGATTAATCACTTCTCCCCATTACATCAGCAGCCCCCGCCCTTTCCTCCGAGAACCTCCTCTCCTAGAATCATCGCTATGCACTAGCGCTCCCTTCGTCCACCCCCTGCTCTATTATATGCCCCATACCTCCCCATTATCACCCGCCCCACCACACTCCCTCTTTCCTCCCTCCCCCAAGGAGGGGGGTGGGGGGGAAGAGGAGGAAACCCGAGAGAGGAAGCCGGGCGTTGAAGGGACTTGGCGATAAGAGCGGCCTCCCCATTGGCCCGGGGGTTGTGTGGGCGCGCCCCATTGGCTCCCTTGGCCGGAATCCCCGCCCCTCTCCTCCCCGCCCATCCGCCCCTCCCCCCGCCGGCCCGTGGCCCTCCCCCGCGGTCCTGGCCAGCCCCGCGACGGGGAGGGACCGACTGGGCGAGTGGAGGCTCCGGCGGTGTCAATGGCTCCTCCTGCCACGGAGCAGCAGCAGAAGCCGCGGCGACGGGGCTGAGGAGGAGGAGGAGGAGGAAGGTTCCTTTAAGGAGGAGGAACGACGCCGCCTCTTTTTTCCCCCTATCTCCTCCTTTCATACTCATTTCCCTTCGCTGAGGAGAGAAGGGGGGGAGGAGAGAGAAGAGGCCGAAGAAAGAGAAAAATTCCTCTCAGAAATCTCTCTGAGGGGGTAGCGGGGGGAGGAAGAGAGAAAAAAAGCCGGGCGCCCCCTGCTCCCTCCCTCCCTCCTCCTCTCCCTCTCCTTCCCCCTTCCTCACCCGCCCGCCCACTGCCCCCGCCGCCCAAGACGCCGCTCGGGAGTCGGCGGGCCCCGGGTCTGTCTCCTCCGCCGCCGCCGCGCTTCGCCTCGGAGCCGCAGGCGGGCGGACGCCCTTTCTTTCTTTCTCTCTCGCTCTGCCTGCCTCTCCGTCTCCGTCCCTCGCGGCCGCCCCGCCCGACGGCCTCGGCCTTCCCCGCGCGTCAGGCCCGCCCGCCTGCCGGCCTCGCTCGGTCTCCGTCTCCGTCTCCGCGGGGCCTTTCTCTGTCTTCGGGGGCTCGCTCGGCCCCTCCGCCCTCACCGCCTCCCCTGCCCCTCGCTCCCTCTCCTTCCTCCCCTCCTCCCCACCCCCTCCTCCGGCCCGGGAGCTCGCTGTGCGTGTGCGTGTGTGTCCCTCCGCCGACGCCGCCACCTCAGCCCGGCAAATGAACTCCGTCCGAGCCGCCAACCGGAGACCCAGGCGAGTGTCGCGGCCGCGCCCGGTGCAGCCCCAGCAGCAGCAGCAGCCCCCGCAGCAGCCGCCGCCGCCGCCGCCGCCCCAGCAGCAGCCGCCGCCGCAGCAGCAGCCCCCGCCGCCGCCGCAGCAGCAGCCTCCACCGCCGCCGCCGCCGCCGCCGCCCCAGGAGCGGAACAACGCCGGCGAGAGGGGTAAGGCCGCCCGGCGCCCGGCCGTTGGGGACCCGCGGGGAGGGAGGCCGGGCGAGCGGGCTGGGCCGGCCGGGGGACGGACGCCCCGGGGTGGGACACGGAGGCCGGCTGGAGGCGGCTCCCCGGTGCCTGCCGCAGTGTCCGCCGCCCCGGGCCCGGCCGGCAGGAAAAGCCGCGGCTTCCCCGCTCGCCCGGGCTCTCGCTCAGGCCGCGCTTTGTTTGGTTTCGGGGCTCGGCACCCTCTCCCCCCACCCTCCCCTGCGGCTCCCGGGCTGCCTCACGGACCCCCGGAGTCTGTTGGAGGTGGGGGGGGGGGAGGCGAAGGTGGAGATTTCCCCCCCTGTTCTTGCCGCTGTCCCCGCTTCGGTCTCCCCCTTCTCTGAGGGGCGGCGGGGGGAAGCGCTGGGAGTGCTCGGGCGGCGGGGCTGGCCGGGGAACTTGTTTTCCCCCTTTTCTCCGCTAGCCTCCCCCTTCCTGTGGAGGAGGGGAGAGGGGGGATCCGAGAGTGGTCCGTGGTGTGGGCCGGGGAACTTGTTTCCCCCGCCTTCCCCCCTTCCCCCGCCCTAGTCACGGGGTAGGGGGAGCGACGACTCCTTTCCCAACCCCACAATGTTTGCTGCGCAGTTTGGCTTTAGTTACAGAACCCCTTGGCAGGGCCCGTTAAATGAAGACCTTTAAATAAATAAATATAGAACCCATCGGCCATTTCCAGCCCCCTCCCTCGCGTGCAGTGCAGTTACCCTTAACGTTCTGCCGACACCCCTCTCGCCGGCTCTCCCTTAGCGAACCCCACGCCGCCGCGCTGCCCTCCACCTCCTGGCGGGGTTTGAACGCCCCTTCCATGGAACCGGCCTGTGTGTGTGTGTGTGTGTGTGTGTGTGTGTGTGTGTGTGTGTGTGTGTGTGTGTGTGTGTGTGTGTGTGTGTGTGTTGTGTCCAAGGCCTAGTGAAATGTGTCATTTGGACCCAACTGTGTAGCTCTGTCTGGTAACCACCATTGTCTAAGGGCTGAGGATCCCGGGGGTTGGATTCTCGCTTTAGCAAAAATAATGTTCAGTTCCACTTTGACGATGTGGTTATTTTGGGAGGTTTACGAGGTTGGGTGTTGCACCTTGGTCTCTAAACATAACTATTCTCTTGTATTAATTAGCTGCTCTCAGTGGGGTGGAGGTCAGTACCGTATTTATGTGCCCGGTTGTTGTTTTTAGGAGGAGGGAATTGTTAGGAGACATTTTGCGTGTTTTCGTTGGCATATTAAGGTTAATTTCACATGCGTTGGTTGTCACACCTCCTTGGATTAAGGAAATTGGGATTAAATGCTTTTAAAAAATTATACATTCTTTCCTTAACTGTTTCATTATTGTACTTGATCGGAATAATTAACAAATGGAAGGGAGATTGTAATCTGAAAAATAGTTTAAAGGGCTTTCACTAGTCACTGTTACAGTCTTTTAGAAAGCAGTTTGCTGTATATTGCTTGAAAGAATGTGATGTTTCAAGCCAGGTAGAGGTTTTGTGCAACAAATACGTTTATTCTTTGATACATTTATCAGTTTTTTGTAAGTTAAAAATATTTGTAGTTTCATCATTTCCTTTCTCATTTGCATATTAGGGTTCGCCTGTGTTCCATTCAAATAATATTCAAGTCTCCTTCTAGAATTGGCACTATCCATAATAGAATTGAGAAAACAATGACACTGGGTTAAAATCCTAGCATAATACTCTATTGCTAGATGAAAAACCTTTTCAGGATGTACCGATTTGTTAATAACATTAGCACTGGTTCACTTTCTTTCTGCCAAACTTAATTTAATCCCATTATGTGTTTTTAAATGTTTGTTCTGAATCACCTTTTCATAATTTGTAATGTCAAACTTAGCTGAGGTACTTTTCTCTTGGACACTTTTCATTTGTTGAAATTATTAGCTACTAAAGTCTGTTTCCTTTTGAAGTTGACTGGGTTGTTGAGAGTCACATGCCAGAGTGTCAGTTTTCTTTTCATTAATGTCCATATGCTGAATAAGATATTCATGAATCAAAATTTTAGTATGTATCTAACCAAATGATAAATCAAATTCACTGTAGAATTGTTGCTTTGCTGCAGCTACTAGAAATTGTTCTGGAGGTTCTATGTTGGCACAGAAGGGAAAAGAACTTGCTGATTAGTCTTCAGGGAAAATGCTATGGATCTTTTTGAGGGTAAATAAATGCCCTTAAAATGAAGAATACAAAGGTGAATTAAGAGACCAAAAATAATATTCTGCTAACTTTATGTAAAAATGTATTTCTTTGAAAAATGGTGTTTTGTTTACATTTTTTTAATAATTTTTTAATTAAATTATTATCTGTGTACATATACCATTGCCCCCCCCTACATGCCCTCTCTCCCCAGAGTTTTGTGTCCATTGGTTGTACTTATATGCATTGTTTACATTTTTTTAATGTACAGTTCACATAATGATCAGAAGTTAACAAGAATACTTTTTATTTTTAAAAGTTTTATGGAGCATGCAAAGTGTCACTATTCCTCGTTTGGATAGAAGGCTTTTGTTGTTTGAGAATGTGCTGGGTTTCATAATTTTGACAAGGCAATTAAGGAACTACAGCTAACGTGTGTGTGTGTGTGTGTGTGTGTGTGTGTGTGTGTACTAGCTCTTAATGGATATGTAACTCTTGATTAAGAGCTTTGAATGGAATTAATAGTGGATCAAACAACTTTTCAGGAAGGGAATTGAATAAGTGAGACTTTCAAGACAAGTTAATTCAATATATATAAAATCACTTATTTTACATAAAAGATGAGCTTTTAACTCTTTAATGGTAATAAAATAGTTAAAAGATATAATATACTTTTCAAGCAAAAATCTGTCAGTACTGGTTTTTAGTTGCTCCTTTGCCCACAGGTTAATAGGCCTGAAAACTTTCTTGTGTGTATATCCTTATGCGCGCGCGCACACACACACACACACACACACACACACACACGTGCGTGCGCCAATGTTTGAAGAAGAAACATCCTCATAGAGTGAAAGCTTATGAGGACTTTTCAAAGCGTTCCATGGAAGAGAATTTCTTACAGTAATAGTCCACCAAATCATTGATTCTTTTAATTTTTTAATTCAAACTCCTGAATTTAGGGTTTCACATACCATTTTAAGCTAATAGAAAATAATTTGTGTTCCACATAGGGACACTTTGATAGTATATTTCAGAGTCAATGAAACTGAAAGTAGTATAGGATTGAATATTTTATATTTTTCTTTTAAATTAAATCTAAAAAGATTTTAGTATTTACAACTTATTCTGCTAAATTTCTCTTGATATCTATTTGGTTGGTAGTGATTTTCTAGAAGTATAAGGAAAGCTTACAAGTCTGCACAAGTGCTATGTAATTTTTAGTTGTTAAAATTGGTTACTCTTAATAAGTAATAAATGCATATACCTGCCCTCCACTACCAAATTCTGCTACCTGGAATCAATACTATTAGATTCTCATTATATTTTAATAAAAAAAAGAAATTTGGCATCTGAAAATAATCTTGATATGAAAGTTTTTTAAAACAAGTGTGATTTTTGTTCCAGTTATTGGGAAATTCATAAGATTGTTTCAAAGTGCTGAAATTTTAACTGTGATCATTTATAGTTCAAGAAATTTAATACATTATATAAATGGGTTTTGCTATTAATGTCTAGTCAGAAATAAATGTAGAAAGTAAAAACTTAATCAGTCTCTCAACCCATATGTATTTGTAGGATAAAAAGGTCACCTATGACTCTGAAATTAAAGAGGTTGTGTTTTTTTAACTAAATTTTTTGGAAATAATTCAGTTTATAGTATTACATGAAATATTCCAGATTGAGCTACATATTTATAAAATGCAGCAGCCAGGAAACTCCTTAGTGTTCTAGTCATACATGCTAATTATACTTTCTGTGGGATTGTTCTGGCCCATGATCATTTACCTTCAGATTTTCTTACTACTTCTAGAATAAGGAACTTCTGCAACCTTTCTCGATAGATTTCTGGGTACGGAACATGATTTTTCCTGTTTAGGAATTAAGTATTGTATGTTACTATTCTCCCATCTGGTAGCTAAACCTTCAAAATATTTACTTCCCATTTGAGGAAAGATGCTGCTTAATGGTGTGGGGGGTGTGTGTGTGTGTGTGTGTGTGTGTGTGTGTGTGTAGCCTGTTTTCTCAAAACTTATTTGAGGAATACAAATGGGATAATGGCATTGCTGATATCAAAGTTCTGCTGATTAGTCCTAAGGGTTGTGCATGTACTGCTTTTCTCTTTACTGGAAATTCTGGCTAGCAACCTTGGAGATACCAGGTAAGACAAGAACCACTAATAGATCCTGACTTGTTAGTGAAGACCTTGGACTTAGATTTGGCAGAATTCAAGGCTAGTGAGTATTTTCCTAGGTGGGTTTTGTGTGTGTGTTTGTTTTTTCTATTTGGTTTAACTTTGAAAATTTATAAATGATCTATGGGTTATTTGAACTTGAGCTATCTTATTGTTTCCTGTCTATTACTAAAAGATTACTGTTATTGCCGAAACTTGTTTGGCTCAGTGGATAGAGCGTCAGCCTGCGGACTGAAAGGTCCCAGGTTCAATTCCAGACAAGGGCATGTACCTTGGTTGCGGGCACATCCCCAGTAGGGGGTGTGCAAGAGGCAGCTGAATTATGATTCTCTCTCATCGATGTTTCTAATTCTCTATCCCTCTCTCTTCCTCTCTGTAAAAAATTAATAAAATATGTATTTTTAAAAACGTTACTGTTATTTTGTGTCTGTCTTGTCCCACGGGTCTCTGAAGGGTTATTCTGATTTAGATTTCTAATTTCACTAGTTAGCCCTTTGAATTGCATCCTTGCCTTCCAGAGAACTCTGGTTAATCTGAGATTACTAGCAAAATACTACCAAATTGTGGTTGGTACCTTTTGAAAATAAAGTTAAAAAGAAATAAAATATAAGGGATGAGATATTTGGGTGGTA